CAGAGAGAGCAAGCGAGACAGAGAGAGAGAGAGAGAGAGAGAGAGAGAGAGAGAGAGAGAGAGAGAGAGAGAGAGAGACAGAGAGAGAAACAGCGCGAAGGCGAGCATATGCGCAGCAGCCAATTAACCGACACTGACACGGGACTCGCGCGGCGCTACAATGACGGGGGAATCGTCAGCGGCGCTGCGATCGCCATGACAACAAAGCAGCTTCTCTTTGTCGCTCCGTCGCTTCATGTCGTGACGTCGGCCGCTAACATCTATTTATAGCCACGACCGGGCGCTTGTTAGCGGACTGTGATGTGTTCCCGTCGAAATCATATAACATTAATAAATAAATCATTATTATTGTTGTTAGTATTATTATTACTATTATTATTATTATTATTATTATTTAAATAAAGCGAGCAGATGGGGTAGGAAAATGGAGAGGTTGGGAGGTTGGCACACATGAGGAAGGAAGCAAAAGAAAGCGAGTTGGGTTGAGAGAGGGGGTGTGAGAATGAGAGAGAGAGAAGGGGTGGAGAGAGGGAGAGAGCGAGACCGAAAGAGAGAGAGAGAAAGGGATGAAGGCAGGGAGAGTGCGAGAGAGAGAAAGAAAGAGAGAAAGAGAAAGAGAGAGAGAGAGAGAAGAGAGATAGGAGCGAGAGAAGCCCGAGAGAGAGCAGAGAGAGAGAGAGAGAGCGCGCGCGAGAGAAAGTGAAGGAGGGTGGAGAGTCCGACCAGTTCGCGACGAAATCATATATCATTAATAAATAAATCATCATCAGTATTATTATTTAAATATATATCATTGTAGATAAATCGTTATAATGCCGTTATAATGCTCAATGTCGTTTGATTAACACGTCACCTATTGTGTGTGTGCGGTGTCAAGGTAAACGCGTCACGTGCGATGTAACCGTATACGCGCTCATAGAAAGCTTCGCTGTGATATCCGAACAAAACTCAGCCATGGGAATAGGCATTATAATAGCTCAACGAATCTTTCTCTCTCTCCTTCTCCGCCTCTCTCTCTCTCTTTCATGCTCTCTCTCTCTCTCTCTCTC